AGTATACTCTTTGTGCTTGAATGCAATACTCTCATGTATGATTTTTTTTTTTACACATGTAAAAGTGTTATGGAAAAAAAGGTAAAGTACATGGTTGTCCAAAATACTGGACCTGGACACTGTTCCTTAGATGTAAGAAGAACCTTGGTTTGGTTTTTCCTGGGGGGTGGGGGAGCAGGTGTGTGTTTGCTGTACCTATTATGTTTCACTGTCTAACAAGAAGGTTGTCCCAGACAAATGTATACAGAAGCCAAAAAAGTCCATAAAACCGAGGTGGGGAGTCTCCCTTTATAATGGTCTTACTGCTTCACCAACTCACTTTTTGGTTTCTACAAAACTAATCTTTTTAGAAACTAAAATTTTAGTGCTATAACTAAAATCTGCTGAGACTTAAGGGGTTTTTCCTACCCAAAAAGTAGAGTTTCTCTTATCTAAGTCAGTAACACGCCCTCCTCTCCACCTCCCATCCTTGTGGGTGGAGACCCAGAGATAGTAAACTCCTTGGCCATGAATAAGTAACTTTTCACCCTTACCTCTTAAAAAAATTAAGCTTATAAGGACTTCATATTTGATTCTTTAATTTTTTAAACTTGAGGGGAATTCACAAACAAATTTAACCATTTTAAAGTGAACAGTTCAGTGGCATTTAGAACATTCACAATGTGAAATGTGAATGCACCGCTACCTCTACCTAGTTCTAAAACATTTCCATTGCTCCAAAATAAAATCCTGTATTATTAAACAGTTTGTCCCCATTTCCTTCTTCCCCCAGCCCCTGAAAACCACCAATCTGTATTCTCTCTACAGATGTAGCTATTCTGGATATTTCATATAAATGGAATCATAATATGTGGATTTTTGTGTCTGTCTTCTTTCACTTAGCATGCTTTTAAGGTTCATCCACATTGTAGCATGTGTCAGTACTTCATTTCTTTTCATGGATGAGTAATGTATGTATATACTACAAATTTTTATCTGTGGATGGGCATTTAGGCTGTTTCCACCTTTTGGCCATTTGAACAGCACTGCAATGAAAAAGCGTGTTATTTGAGTATCTCTTCTCAATTTGGGGGGATATTTACCTGCAGTGATGGGCTGAGTCATGTGCTCATTCTATAACTTCTTTAAGAACCACCAAAGTGTTTTCCAGCAGCTGAACCATTTTATATTTCCACCAACAATGTCTGGCGCTTCTAATTTCTCCACATTTTTGCTATCACTTATTTTCCTTTTTTTAAAAAAAAACCTCATCTTTAATTCTATTTTTTAATTTTTTTGTAGAGACAGGGTCTCACTATGTTGCCAGTCTGGTCTTGAACTCCTGCTCTGAAGCAATGTTACTGCTAGCATCCCCAAGTACTGGTCCTAATTTTCCACTGGCTTCTCAAATCTGTTGTACCTCCTTTTGGTAATTTCTTCTCATTAGTCCTGTAATTAAACCAGATAACCACTTCTCAGATTATTTCTGCTCTATTACTGTAGCCTTTCTCTTCCCCAACTTTATAGCTCTTAAGGAAGGGTCTTTATCAACTCGGGTATCTTCCATTTCTCTTCTTGCTAACAGTTTTTATATTCCTTTCATTAACCTCCTTCCTTCCTTGCCTCCAGCCCACAAAAAAATCAGATAATAGTGTCCTGATTAGCTCAAGCTCCATAAAATAAGTAGTTCTAGTCTATAACCCTTAGCATGATGTACCTGTATAACTTTGAAGGTGGAGGTAATGGTGGGTAGTGGTGGTGGTTGAGATGAATAAGGACTAATATTTCTCAAGCATGAAGACTGTATCTAATTCATGTTTTGTGGGAGTTTTTGTTTTTTGAGATAGGGTCTTGCTCTGTTGCCCAGGCTAGAGTGCAGTGGTGCTAATGTAGCTCAATGCAACCTTGACCTCCTGGGCTCAAGCAATCCTCCCACCTCAGCCTCTCAAGTAGCTGGCACTACAGGCACACACTATTGCGCCTGGCCAATTCTTAAACTATTTTTAGTAGAGAAGGGGTCTCAATATGTTGCCCAGTTGGTCTCGAACTCCTGGCCTCAAGTGATCTTCCTGCTTCCCAAAGTACTGGCATTACAGGTGTGAGCCCTAATTCATGGGTTTTTTTTTTAATCCCTATAATTCCTAAAGCAGTTATATTATGATAAAACATCTCTTGGAACCTAGGACTCTAAGACAGACAGTGGTACATCTTTTCCTTCTAATAATCCCTCCCCACGCACTGAAATTTAAAACTCTAGAATAGCTCCAGTTTTCCTCAATCTGTTAGTTAATATTAGGGAACCAAGATGTTAACTAGAGATGAGTAGATCAAAGGAAGTCCCCTTTGCTGGTACCTAACTGGCCCGCGTGTACTGTTCACTCTAGGGTCATAGTTGTGGCATACTTAGAGATAACATTCCATATTTCGTACTGAGCACCGTGTGTCTAAAGACCACACTCACATAGCAGAAGTTCTAAAAACTCTGCTGGAGAGTATGTGTTTTGTGGGAATGTGGCTTTAGTTGCCAAATTCTTTACCCAGAATAAACTCAGGTAAGTTAAAGACATCTCATCATATTAAAAGTAACTGGAGATGACACAATGAAATTTTAGTGTTAAGAACATTTTGGTATTTTTATAGTGAAGATTACATAAACTTGGATTTCTTTATAGGTGCCAAAGAACGTTCTGAGATCTATGAAGCATTTGAAAACATCTATCCTATTCTGAAAGGTTTTAGAAAAGCCTGAGTGTATCATTTAACACCTCACATTATACTAGTTTGAATATGTACATAAGCCCAGCACAAACAGCTGGATTCTTCTACCTTTAATTGTAGATGTTACAAGTATATCTTTGTTAAAGGGTAATTCTATGTAAGTAACTATGCCTAAGAAATGAAGAAAACTTCTTACTAAAAATGACTCTTGTATGTTATTTAAAAAACTGATCAAGTAACTTATTTAAGAATTTGAGAGGTTTAGAGCCTTGCTGGAATGATACAATAGCATTATTAAAACTTTAAGGCTCTGTTCTTAAATAACATGTTCTTTGAAAGCTTCAAATAACTGCATAAACTAGATACTATCTGTGATAATCATCATCTAGCAGGATAGAAGTGAACGTCTGTTTTTGGCCTTTTAAAATACTGAACATATCCTGACCATTAGGTAACAGGCACTGTGAAGGATGTCAGAATACAAATAAAACAAAAAAAACTAAAACCTTAAAACAAAAATCCTTTTGAAATGATCAGACAAAAAGATTTCTCACTTAAAAATCTTGAACTTTCAGGAACCATTCAAGTAGAGTGTAAACTCTATTTTGAAAACAACATAGGGAATTTTTTGCTTTTGCTTACTTTTATAATCCTACATAATTGTACTAAAATGAAATGGGTAAGACTAACAAGATGGAGGAACAAAGGACTCGGAATCGAGACCTAGTTTGTAGAATCATCAGCATCTGATGATGCTGTGGAGTTTAACAGGGAGAGAGGGGGCTAACATAACTCGTGGCTCTTGGCGCCAAGTGGTCAGTGATTATGTCCTTCACCAAGGTAGGAATCAGGTTTATGGGGAGATAGAGTTTAGTTTCTGACATGCTGAGTTTGCAGTGGTGGAACATCACTTAATACTTAGTAGGCAGTTCTAACTCTTGGGTTTGGAAATTGAAATTCAGCTAGAGAGACTAGTCAGGGCAATCTTCAATGGATAGCCTACTGAAATAATCCTTGAGAATCACCAGTCTAGATAATCTGACCTACACCCAAACCCACTTTTCGTCTTTTCCTTCTGTGGTTGAGAGCATTGGTCCCAAATTTTTTTTTTTTTTTTTTTCCGAAGACAAGAGTCTCACTCTGTTGCCTGGGCTACAGTGCCGTGACGTCAGCCTAGCTCACAGCAACCTCAAACTCCTGGGCTCAAGCAATCCTCCTGCCTCAGCCTCCCAAAGTGCTAGGATTACAGGCGTGAGCCACCACGCCCGGCCGGTCCCCAACCGTTTTGGCATCAGGGTCAGTTTTCATGGAGACGATTTTTCCACGGACGGGGTGGGGTGGGGGCTCGGGATGATTCAAGCGCATTACATTTATTGTGCGCTTTATTTCTGTTACATAGTAATATGTAAGGAAATGATTACGCAACTCACCAGAGGTTGGGGACTCCCTGGTTTAGAGGTATATTCAAACGCTAATTACTGATATTCTTCCTGACCCAACCCCTTATTTACCGAGCCCCGTCCTGCCCGTCCCCCCGCACCCCAGAACTTGAAGGGACATCCTAACCATCTACCGTGTAGTCCAGATTTTCTCAGATCATGGCCCAGGGTAGAGAAGGGATGTTGACCACTTAATTAAAATTAACTTTTCAGAAAGATACAACTTTGATTTTGTATGTTTTTCACTGGTTAGTTATTGGTGAAGTATTATCAGAATACTGTCAAACGCATTTACTTATCCTTACCGCAGTAGGTAGGTACTGTAATTATATCCATTTAACACGAGAAAATAGGCACAGGGAGGTTAAGGAACTTTTCCCAAGGAACACAGCTTTTAAGTAGGTGGGCGGGCCAAAATTCAACCTAGTTCCAAGCCCCAGCCCCACCCAACTTTGTTGTAGATTTAGACAAATGTAAAAGTACCCATATTAATTAAATACCTTCCCTGATTCTGTTACCATTACGTTTTCCCAGAATCCTTAAGGCGTGGTATTACTATTTTTTGCACAGCTTTGAGGCTTTAACTCGTATCCTTGGCCTGATCCAGCAGATGATATTTTGTTTGTCGGATTTGCCCCTCTAATAATTTTCCCTCCTTCCGGACCGGCAGCCCCTCAGCAGACAGGAAGAGCAACCGCGCGGGGAACAGGCTCCCGCCGCCGCAGACAGCTCCGGGAGACTGGGCTAGGGGCCAGCCTGGGTCCCCGCCCGTCCTCCCGGCTCCTCCCAGGCCCCTCCTCCTCGCCCAGAATGCACCTGGTTAAAAACAAAATCCCACGTGACTGGCTCTGCTCTCAGGCCATCATGGCGTCTCCCAGTGGGAAGGGAGCCCGGGCGCCGGAGGCTCCTGGCTGCGGGCCTCAGCCACTCTCCCGGGACCTGGTGGACTCCGTGGACGATGCGGAGGGGCTGTACGTGGCTGTCGAGCGCTGTCCGCTGTGCAACACCACCCGCCGCCGGCTGACCTGCGCCAAGTGCGTCCAGAACGGCGATTTCGTCTACTTCGACGGTCGCGACCGGGAGAGGTACGGCGGCCGCCACGGCTCTATTGTTGCTTTTCTGGTGTCTTCTCCAGCCAGGAGACCAAAGGCTGGAACCTGGGGCTACCTCTCCGGGCCCCGGATCCTGGCGAAAGGAGAGGGAGAGAGGGAGGGTAGCTGCCGCGCGCCGGCGCTTTACTGCGAGAGGACAGGGTGGGAGCCAGATGAGGGAAGGTCGCTGTTTCCCCATCACCCACTGGAGAGAAGTTTGACCCTACGGTGCTCTTGAGTCGTAGGGGGAAAAAAAGGTGATTCTTCTGGAGAAGTTTTCCCCTGTTGCTGCCATAGAGTTGGATTCTCAGCTCTTTGCTTTATATACTACAATTAATCTAAAAGCTTGGCTTTCTGTTTTCAAAAGCACATTCATAGACATTCTCTGGAGGAGAGAGTAGAAGAAAATCAAATAACGGTTTAAGAGGGAATCTGTGTTTAGTAATCTGTGTCACAGATGGACTTTGTTACCAGACTTGCTTACTCTAATGTGTGAACTAGAACTGGCTGGTTGCTTCCTTTTTCCTTCCCTGCCTCCAAAGATTTTTTTGGATTTTAAGGAATTTGAGACTGTGTTTTGGCCTTGTTTTACAATTCAGATTCGGAGCTGCAAGCCTTAGTTAAGAGAATTGTATTTAGGAACATTTCTTGGTTTCGTTTTGAAATCTAAACAGAGAGCTACAAGCCCTTGGATGAGAGACTTGGAAGATTAGTGTGATTAGCAGCAGAGTCTTCCACTCCTAATTTCTTTTCAACAACTTAGTATCAACAATAGTAAGACAGCTAACTTTTTGAGCACCAAAGTTCAGGTATTAATTGATTTACAACAACCCAATAACTTATGCCCAATTTACTTCTGAGTAAACGGTACAGTACCTTGTCCTAGGTCACAAAGATGATAAGTGTAAGGACCAGAATTAAAATCCAGACAGCCTGGACTTATATACCTATGCACTTAACCACTAGCCAGTACAACGTCTGTATTTGGGAATGTTTTGAGTTCCTAATATTCCTGTAATTGTAAATGTTTCTCTTTTGAGGAGACCTGTGGGACAAAATCTTTTTAGTTCATTGCTGTGCCTTATTGATGCTCTTGACAACTGTAGAAACTGCTGACATAATAAGTGATAGCTTCAAGAATTAAACCAGTTGTTATAAGAATACTATGTATGTGATGGAAATGTCTAACTGATGGAGTTTATCAAGGGTTCAGTTCTGGACCTTCTTCTCTGTCTATACTTTTTTCTAGATTCATTTCTGTGATTTAAATGCCATCTGTATGCTGAAGACTGCCAAACTTGTATCTCTAACCCAGACCTTTCTGAAGTCCAGGAAACACCTGCCTATTCAATATCTGTATTTAAATTTGCAATAGGTATCTCCATTTAATATGGCAAACTGAACTCCTTATTTTCCCTCATGAATCTTTTCTTCCCATGAGCATTCCAAACCAGTAAATGGCAATCTCTCTGCCTTTGGTTCAGGCCAAAAAACCTTTCAGTATTCCTTGACTCCTCTCTTAAGCCACCCTATCTAACTAATCCCATCAACAAATTCCTTCTACTCTTCAAAACCTATCCTAAATCTGACCATTTGACCATCACCTGGTCTGATCTACCAGAGGATTATTGCCTCTTGTGTCTTCGCTTCCACCGTTACTTCCCTTTTGGTATAATTTCCATATTGCAACCGGAATAATGCCACTCCCCCATTCCTCTGTTGAAATTTTCCAATTTTAAAAGCCAGAGCCCTTAACCAAAGTCCTATATTATCTGTTCCTCCTCTGACCTAATCTATTTTCTCCCTTACATATTCTGCTATAACACCCTAGCCTTCCTGTCAGTCCTCAAACATACCAAGAACAGACCTTCTTCAGGGCCTTTACAATCATATTCAGATAGCCAGGAACCCTTTTTCTCCCAGAAATCTTCAGAGTTGCCTCCTTTATTTCCTTTAGGCCTCTGTTCATACATTATGACCAATGATATAAACTCTGAGGGCAAGACTTTATCTGTTTTGCTGGGCGTGTTGGCTCACACCTGTAATCCTAGCACTTGGGGAGGCTGAGGCGGGAGGATCCCTTGAGGTCAGGAGTTCAAGGCCAGCCTGAGCAAGAGGAGACCCTCTACTAAAAATAGAAATTAGCCAGGCATGGTGGCACATGCCTGTAGTCCCAGCTACTTGGGAGGCTGAGGCAGGAGGATCGCTTGAGCCCACGAGTTTGAGGTTGCTGTGAGCTAGGCTGATGCCACAGCACTCTAGCCTGGGTGACAGAGTGAGACTTTCGCCCCCCCCCCAAAAAAAAGACTTTTTCTGTTTTGAACACTGTATCGTCATATAGTAGAAGCTCAATAAAGATTTAATGAATGAATGAATCTATTCCTTCTTCCCAACCTCAGTCTGTTTTTGGACTATTTCAGTATCATCCATTATGATTCATTTTTCGTTTTTTTACTAAAGCTGGAAACCTGGGAGTTATCCTAGATTATTCCTCTTCTCTTATTCTCTATGTCCAAATAATCAGCAAATGTAATATAGTCTGATGCCAAAATATATTTTGAATCTGTCCACTTCCAGTTCAGACTATCATCATTTCTCTCCTGACTACTTAGTGATCTCTTTTCACTCAGGCAACTTTTCCCCACCCTGCCTCTGGCCTCCACACAGCAACCACAGTAGAAAAAATGTTAATCAAATAACGTCACTTTTTTTTGCTTAAACCTTTCAGTGGCTTTCAAGTACATTTAAAATAAAATTCCAGCTCCTTACCATAGCATATGAAGCCCCGTGTGATTTGGTCCCTGCTTACCTCTCTAACTTTGGCTGTAAGGTTAAAAATGTGGGCTTTGAATGTATGCTGCATGGAATGGAATCCAAGCTTCAATACTGGCTGTGCGATTTTGAGCAAGTTTCTTCACCTCTCCTATGCTTGTTTATTTCATTTTGAAAATGGTGGGGTATTTAAAGTGCATGATGTCTAGCATACGTTATTAAGTACTCAAAAAATAAACTCATGCTATGCTCCACAATCACAGGCCTTCAAACACATGAAATTTTTCCATCTTTTTCCTTGCTGTTGCCTCTGCCTGGAACACTTTTCCTGTTCATTGGCACCTTGTCTTTCACCTCTCAACTTCAGTGTCACTTCCTCAGTGAGGCCTTTCCTGACGTTTCTTGTTAAGGTAGTTTCCCAACTCCATCTCCCCCCATTATTTGCTATCACAACAACTCAATTGATTTTTTTCATGGTACTAAGCATGGTGTGTAATGTTATGTGTTTGAGAAGATGTCTGCATCCAAAATGTAGTTCTATGAAGGCATGAATTCTGTTTGTTCTATCAGAAATAATGCATATCAAAGTTCTTGTAAATATGAATGTATTTTTTCAGTTTTCTTTCTTTCTTTCTTTCTTTTCTTTCTTTCTTTCTTTCTTTTTTTTTTTTTTTTTCCGAGACAGAGTCTGGCTCTGTTGCCCTGGCTAGAGTGCCGTGGCATCAGCCTAGCTCACAGCAACCTCAAACTCCTGGGCTCAAGCAATCCTCCTGCCTCAGCCTCCCGAGTAGCTGGGACTACAGGCATGCGCCACCATGCCCGGCTAATTTATATATATATATTTTTAGTTGTCCAGATAATTTCTTTCTATTTTTTAGTAGAGACGGGGGTCTCACTCTTGCTCAGGCTGGTCTCGGACTCCTGACCTTGAGTGATCCACCCGCCTCGGCCTCCCAGAGTGCTAGGATTATAGGTGTGAGCCACCGTGCCCGGCCCACAATCTTAAACTGTATAAACTGTTGGACGTTTTAAAATTACAGTTCTTCTAACAGGAACATAGTTTTCTGATTGCACATTTACCTGACACCAAAAATAGCACTGCTACCCGATAGATAACTGATAGGTTGAAGTAATCTTTCCATTCAAAACTGGGAAGAAGTTAGTTACCAGTTCATGATTGGTGAGGGAATAGGACCAGGGAAGATGATCTGAGGATACCTGGAGAAATGTGCCTGTTGGTTTAGGAGCCTGTGGTTTTCAAGTGTGGATTAAAAAGAAAGGCAAATTTTATGAGCATATGGATATTGTTTTTATAAGTACGTCTTCAGGAATGATGCTGCGTCACCCTCACTGATGAGTTTTAAGAATCTATGATTACGCTTTTATCAGAAAACAGAAATGCTGGCACTAAACAAATTGAGAGGTGGGATAAAGGGTGAGGAAGACATTTAGACGTTATTGCGGATTTCAAGGGGAACATCCAAAAAATATCCTTTAGATATTTCTGTTCTCCCTCTAGTATCCTTTTGGTTGTCAGTCACTGTGGCCTATAAAAATCTGTTGTCTTGAGAATTCAGTTCTGTATACTGAATTCAGCAGAACAAAAGCCCTGCTGGTAGCTGATTCTTCATCATTAGACAAGAGCTTGTCAGTCTTACTACTTTTTGATTATGTCCTTCAAGTGGGGTCTCAACTCCCATCCCATGCAGTTTATTAATAGTATTTCCACCAGGAAATGTGTATCTGCTAAGAAAATAACTTGTTTTCAGTCAGTATCTCTGGCTACTCTTACCATCATACCAAAGAATTTATAAAAGGTTTTCACCTTTACTATCTTTGGTTCCCTGCCACAACCCCACGAATTATTGACCTATTTTAAAGATGAGAAAACTGAGGCTCAGAGTTGTAGCTAACTTAATCCTGGACTATGCTAATTCTTAAATTCATTTCCTGATTGGAACTATATTTTTATATAGTGCATGTGTAACAATATCCAAAAGCCTCCCATTTTGTTATGCGAATTGAGATATATGTACTGTAGTGAACGAAGGGCTGGGATTGAGCCCAGAGAGACAATGCCCCCAGCCTATACACAGCCTTCCAGTTTGGAGTATTTTGAATTTTTACATTGACAAAACCACAATTGTAAAATGCATGTTTTTTTTGAAAGCTAAGTATTATACATATGACATTTGAAATATTAAAAGTGTTTTTAGTTCAAG